TCCTGCTCTGGTCTCCAAGCTGCCCCGGCAAATGCCGAGAGAGGCCTATCAATCTGCTGGAGCCTAAGGCATCTTGGAGTCGGGCACAGGAGTTTATGATGCCTGCCGGAGTGCTTCTGGCAGCCCGGCTCAGACACAACAGCGAAGGCCACTTACTTCCTCCTTGTCTGCCACTCCTGTTGGCCAGGGTGCAGGGGCCTCTCTGGCCTGCTTCGGTGGTCTTCCCTGGCTTCGTTCATTTGTAAATGGGGAAAGGAAAGCCTTTAGCTCTATCTGGAAAATGAGCACATGGGTTGTTACTAGGATGCTTTTCCCCCAAAAAACAAGAGGTCCTATATACAATTAAAACTTGCTTCTGGTAAACCTCATTCCAGGAAAGATGAGCTTTTAACAAAAGGCTTTTGACAGCTGCAGGCTATTTCATTTTTTTTAATGCCGAATGAAAAATCAATACATTTTTCTGGGTTATACATATTCAGAACAGGCCTGATATTTCCATTATAATGGAAAGTGGGTGTCTCTGCACATCTCGCTTGTCAGAGCTGCGCCACCGCATTTTCCAAGCCACTGCTAAATATTTCAAACCTGATTTGATTGTGGTTCATGACAGCTAATGTTTCTCAGCTCTTGAGCGTGCCGACAGGCAAATGCACTTCTAGTTCGCCCCCATCCTGAAACATTGCTTCTCCCCCCACCCCGAATAAAAAAAAAAAGGAAAGAATAATTTCATTCTTCGGGGATCACAGATTGGTGTGTTATTGAAGTAACACGATCATGTGAGAGCCCTGGGTACAGACACCCTGATTCTTCGGAGAATTTCCACATTTCTGTCACGTCGAGGCACTATGGGGGCTTTGTCAGGTTTGGGGAAGGTTTGAATTAATCGACATTATCCTGTTAAGAGTCAGGAACAGAGGGACCTATCTTGATCAGCAGCTGCCTCCCCTTCCCTTGCCGCCTGGAAGTGATTTGTAAAACACCCCCAGCGGACGCAAGCCTCGGTCGCCACCATTTGCTGGGGGGCGGGGGGAGAACGGTACCAGTTTTTAAACTGGAATGTTTTCTTGGGGGCGGCGGCGGGGACTGTGGGCCGTGGGTTGGATGCTCACTTCGTGCTGATGCCCCCTCTCTTCCTGGCGTCTGCCTGGTGCTCTGCTTCTACAAGCCAATTTCCAGGTTGTTCATAAAATGGTCACAAATGCGCACGGGCTTGCCAGTTGGCACATGGCCCTGCTCCAGGGGCTGGCTTCCCAGCGCGTGGGGGCGTGGGCTGAGGGCACCTTCGGGAAGGGGTCGAGTAGGTGTGCATTAAGGTAACCATTTGCATTTGTAGTGAGCACAGCCACATTGTTGTGGATGGAAGGAAGTTTTCTGGGGCTGTAGTAGCATCATATCCCCCGCCCTTGTGGGATGCACTTAACCGGCTGGCATTCCTGCACCCCGGGCTCAGCCAGAAGTGTGCCTAGCGTGGCCAGGCTGGGTTGGGCCTCGTGCTAACGCAAGTGCCGTCTAGGAGATGGTAACGCAAAAACAGATGGGGCTGAAACCTTTCTGTCCTGTTCTCGCTGAAGTGAAGACACACGCAGGGCTCGGGAAGACCTTGTAGCTTTTCAAGCTGTGCTGTGGTCTCCCCATCATGGATGCGTGTGAGGCAGCGGGGATGCCCTGGCCCGAGGGCGGCTGTGGTACGGGACTGTCCTCCTGGGTCTCTGGGGGACAGAGGCGTCTTCCGTGGGTCTGGGGTTACACTGGGCATGCTCCCCCTCGCCGAGAGCCGGCGGGGGGCACACGCATCACTGATGAACTCTCGTGTGCTTTGAGAAGAGGTGGGTTGTGATGTGTCTGTTTCAGCCTTGAAAATGAGAAGGTGGCTGGCCGTGGCGTGCCTCGAAGTGAGCAAAGACAGACTTTTCCAGATAAAACCCATCATCACTCCATCAAGTCTTGTCCTCTTCCTGGCATCTGTCGGTAGCTGATATTGAAAGCACAAAAAAAAAAAAAAAAAGTCGCTTTTGTGAATGACCGGAGCCAGTTGGGGAAGGAAACGCAAACCGTGATGTGTGGGAACAAAAAAGGCTCCCGGGAATGCACGTGTTAGAGGCGCATTCCTGGAGGGAACACAGGCCGGGACAGCAGTCCTGGAAGCTGAGAATGCTGATGTGGCTCCCAGACAGATGCCACATGTTTCCCATGAGGAGACCAAGGGTTTCCCTGTGGCTGCCCTCAGCCTGGCTCCTGCTCAGGGAGCTGGAGTTATGCTTTTGGGACCAATAAAACCCTGCCCGCCCGCAAGGCATCACGGGCCACAGCCTTCCAGACAAATCCATGGTTTGTATCCCTGTTTTTTCTTCCTTTTTCTACCTTCTTTGGTATTCAGAGCTCACAGCTTTCCGGTTACTCTCAGCCTGGGCTTTCATCCATTTTAAAGAGCTATTTTTCCTCTTGCTCTTGATGATGACGGTATAAAGACAGATGGTGTAACTGCTTATGAATGTCCTATTTCTCCAGGACCAGACAGTTCTCTTGAAGACCTGTATTATTTCCACATGCTCAGGTTAGGCAGCCCAGACTCCTCTGCCGCCTGCTGCCAGCTGCCCTTCAGGGCCTTGCCTTGCAAAGGGCGACACCTGTAGGTGGCAGGTGGAACTGCGGGCGGCTCCTGCTCTGAGACCTCGTTTCCGGCTGCCGGTCATAGGAGCTGGCTTGTCCTTGGGGTTCGTAATCATTTCTTCTTCCTCCATGCAGAGAAGAGCCATTCAGTGAATGAGTCACACATGATAACATTAAGCCCAGGAACTCAAGAAGAAAAGACCTTGATTTGTACATCTTGAAGGGGGAAATAAAGAGAAGCAAAATAAGCTCCTGAGAAACCCTCTTTTAAGTCGTGCCTTCATTTTCTGCTCGCAGCAGGCTGGGGAAAGGGGAGCAGCAAGGCCCGTGCTGGAGGGCTCTGGGAGTATCCACAGGGCATTGTGAGGCCCCCTTGCTCCTGAGCGGTGGGCTCCGTCTTCCCAGCCACTGGGGCTGTGTCTGCAGACCATACATTCTTCACCCCCTCCTCTGGGTAGCTGTGGGTGACGGCAGAGGGCAGGGGACAGGCACCGGCCCTGGGCTCGGCCACTCCCTTTCGTCTCTGGGGACAGTGCCCTCCGTCAGCACCTCAGGGTGTTCTCTGGTTCGTAGGTGTCAGATTGTCTCCATTGCTGGTGATGGGTGTGCGTGTGCACATGCCTGAGTGTGCCAGGGAAGAGCGGCCTCTTTGTCCTGACCAAATTTGGTTCATGCATCAACACCACAGATACTTTGCATTATCGCATGTCTCAGGACAAATGAGGATATTTTAAGTAACCTCACTGGTTGGAATAGACCCAACTCTGATAGGATCGATTGACTAATGCCGATATCACCAAGGATGACTTTGATGAATGTAGTGTGGAACAGTTTTGTCAAATGCTCAAACATGTGCGTGGAGTATCTGCCTGGAGATCATTAACGGGGTCCATGTGTCACGCTCTGTAACTTGCTTGTTATCACTCAGCTCATTCACATACACTTTCCCTAAATGCTGTACACTGTTGGTACACTGTGTGTCCGACTGCCTCTTAGCGATGATTGACTGGTCACTTCGTGTAGGGCGGGAGGCTTGCTGAGGACTCCACTGGGCAGTTAGCCTAAAAGGAGACATAGGGATGGCATGTGGAGTCCTTGTTTGGAGGGGACAGTAAATGGTCCCAGTTTCATCTGAGCTTCTGGTCCCTGTCCTATTGGTTGGGTCCCTAACCCCCCGGATCTTCCTCCTGAGTCAGGGAAGGCTCATGATCAACAGATACTCTGCCCTTGGTTGTTTCAGAAATCCTCCTAGCTGGGCTAACTTCTCCCTGTGCTTCGAGCCCTGTGGGGTGAGAATCAGAGCGTGACTCGGGGCTCAGAGCTTGGCGCCTGTGGAAACCCTGATGGCACGGTTGGGGTTGCCTGTCTTCAGGAGGTGCTGAGGTCCCGGGTACCCCGGCCCCTGGGGTTGCCCCCGGTGTGCTGCTGCAGTGGCTGGTCGATGTGGGTGTGCTTGCCAGTCTCCCAGTAGCCCCGTTGGTTATGAAAATGGTTTTCACCTTGGCTTGTCTGCTCTCTTCATTTGTTCTTCCCATTTTCACTGAATGCAAGCTTGATAATGATCTGAAGAAGCCAGACAGCTGCACAGCTTCCGTTTCCTTCCCTGAGCTTCTATTGTGTCTCAGCCCCGTCTTCTCCACCAGGACAGGTGGCTGTGTGCTTCACAACCAACCCGGTGTCAGAACTGGCCATTCCGCTGCCTTCATGGCATCACGGGGTCCTGAGCTGAGTTCATTTTAAACAGTAAATGAAGAGTGAATGGAGACTGGAGTTACTGCAGAGGAAATGCGTGGCTGTGACAGACTTTTATCTCTGTCTCTCCTATCTCATTTCTCATCTCTGACATGCCCGTGAGCTAGCATTTGGCTTGAAGACCTCTTGTGTGCGTTGATGAACTCGTAGCAGTGGTAGGCTGTACCTCGCAGGTCACGAATAGCTGCAAAAAAGCTTAGGCACACGTGTAGTTCCTGTGGGTCAGGTGAGGCTGTCCGTGGTTGGTTCTGGTCTGCTCTGCAGGTGTTGCCAGGTGGGAAGGTAGGCAGGCGGCTGTGTTGTTGTGTCCTCTAAAGGACCTCCCTGCTGCTCCTTCAGGGATTGGCATGGAGTCTGGTCCCTTGCACCCACAGGGCCCGTTTTCCTGTTAGAAAGGCTCAAGTGAGGTGTTCCAGAATCCGTCGGGAAATGCCTTGAGATCACTCATCTGGAGTGCGCCACGAGCTCACGCCAACTGCTTCCCGCAGCCCTGCTCTCAGCATCAGGCTGGTGGGGCTCCCGATGAGACAGGAAGGCCAAGGCCTCGGCCACTGTTTTGTAGTCCTTTGGAATACAGACCATGAGTTCTTTGTCTTCTCGTTTCATTTCTTGACATTTCTGTTGTTCTTCTGTTTCAGAAGAAGCCATTGAAGATGTTGAAGGGCCCAGTGACCCACCTGCCGACCCAGAGGAGCTTGCTAAAGACCAGGAGAGTGGAGGCGAGAAAGACCAGAGCAAGTGGACAGGTAACGCGCGTGCTGCCCGGGCCGCCTGCCGTGTCCCTCCCCACTGCACCTGGCCGGCGAGGTGGGAGCAGGTCCCGCCTTCTGGGCACGCATCTGTGGGCTCGGGCAAGAGGCCGGAGGATTCGGCTTTGTTCTACAGGGTCACCCTGGTTCTCCTTTCTCAAAATCTGTTTAGGAATGAAGTTTTTCATGGGCCCTGAAGCCAGCTTGTTTGCTGAGTGCCCAGGAGGCAGGTTCTGTGCCTGAGGCCTGCTGGCTCTCAAAGGTTGCCTCTGCTGGCCCTGAGTGTCGGTCCCCCTGTGTTGTAGACCCGGGTGGCTCACCTGCCTGCCCCTGCGGATGCGTGGTTAGAGTCACCCTGATTGCCAGCCTTGGGATTGTCTGAGGGAGCTGGCAGTGGAGGGAGGACCTTCTCCTGCGTCTCGGGGTCCTGGCCAGGCCCTGCCCCTCTCCCAGGGCAGGCAGCCACACGTTGCAGTGCACCCAAAGGGCAGGCAGGCAGCGCAGCCAGGCAGGGAGACAGCTTCCCCAAAGTGGAAGAAATTGAAGAAGCCAAGACAGGAAGTGCTATTTCGGGAAAAGCTGCTGTTGAGAGAAGGGAACAGCTATTTCTCATGCTAGCATTTCCGTACGGAGGGAAGGAAGAGCTGAAGCTCAGAAAAGAGGAGGAGAAAAGTGGTGTCTGAGCCAGCTCGTCAGCCGCCATGAGCCTCCCGGAAGCCAGCAAGCACCCTGCTAGGGGAAGGGCTAGGCCAGGCCTTCGGCAGCCCGAGGGTTGCGACTAATATTAATATTATAACACTTGGGTTTTTTTTCCCCCCTTTTGAGAAAATATTTACCTTTCTGGAGCCTGTACTGGTTAGGCCTCTGTTACTTTTCCAGGCATGACTGTTCTTAAATCATGTTCAGTGCTGGCCTTCGCTATTTAAACAAGGTACAGAGTCTTGGAGGCAGGCCAGAGGAAAGCAGTGAACATGACTGAAGGCGGAGACACGCTGCCTCGGAAGAGGCTGCCGAAATGGGGGCCGTTCGGCCTGGAAAGCAGAACTGTGGGAGGCAGCGTCGCAGCTCCCGGACCCGGAGGGACCTGGTGCATAGATGGCATGGCATTGCTCATGTCTGCCAGGAGATGTGACAGTGCCTCCCTGTGGCCATGGTGAGGGATGGATGCGCCACACACATCTTGCCATCCATGCTGTGCACTGCTCGGTTTCCAGTAGGAGTCTGTGGTGTCCAGCAGTGGGAAGGGCCAAGGCTGCCTGGCCGGATTTGCAGGGAAGATTCGGAGAGCGCAGGGTCCTCACCTTTGTTACTGTATCAGAACCAAGTACCCAGTATTCATGGTGGCACTTGGGGGGGTGAGCTGGGCAGAAGGCTCAGGTAGTAGGCCAGCTGCCCAGAAGAGGCGGGCTGAGAATCACAGGCACCCTTGGGAGACGGGCCACCCTCCCAGGCCACGTGCACCGTCACACCTGGGCACTCAGTTTCTGATCCTGGCTCCACTCACTTGACCCTTTGAGCCTCTGCGCCCCGCCGAGAGATGGGGCTTAACCATGATGCCTCCTTGCACAGGACTGTGCCTACCGTTTGGTAAAGCTCAATAGGACTGTCTGTGTTGGTTGAGTGCGGTAGGCTAAGGACTAGCTGCTGCCCATTGGACCCTCTGTTAGGTCACGAGGCTGCCGTGGGTTGGGAGAAGCAGGGGGCAGGGGTGCTCAAGGCCTCAGCAAGCCTGTGCAAATGGACTCAGTGCCAGTCTTGCCTTTATTCGGTGTCTCAGGCCGTAACAGGTAGCTGCTGCAGGCAAAGCACCTGCTGTGTGTGCCAGCCTGGGCCGGGCACCCTGTGGGTCTTCCCCTGACCCTCTGAGCAGCAGAGGGCTGGTCTGACTCTGTGCCCAGAGGGAGTGAGTCTTGCTGGTGGCCGTGGGCATGCTGGCCACCAGGTGACTGCTAGAAGGCTTCAGATGCACCCAGTGGAGTGAGTGTCCTCAGGAGGCCTGGCTCCCGACGCTCTCGCACGCGTTCAGCCAGCCAGCGGGCCTGCTCGCTCTCCATCTCCAGAAGAGAGGAGAGGGACGGGGAGTGGAGGGCTTAAAGCAGGGCTGCCCCTGCCAGGCTGTAGTCATGGACAAGTGCAGACTCTTTCTCAGCTCCTGCAGATGGTGCTTTTCTTGCCCCGTGTGTATGTGTGTAATGACGGACTTTATTACACTCCCTGGCCCGTCTGATCTTGGAATCGATGCAGGTGCCAGCAGCTTCTTCCGAGCTTTCCTTTGGATTCTTAGTACTTTGCAAAAATAAGCTGTGAGTCTTCAATCTGCTCCCTAAATTGAGCTGTTCCTATCTGATTAAATGTGACGGGGAGTGCTTCCTCCTGGTAGATAAATAAATAGTGATTTCACAATTTGTTCTGTTGATTAGCGGCTGTTCATGATGCAGATTAGCAATATTTCAAATGGGCCGGCATAATTGGCATCATCTCGGCTATTGATTATATAGTTTGGGGGCTTCTGCAGGAATGGCTAATCTTTACTAAACTTTTTTCTTTAGTTATTTGCCTTCCCAGTGGACTGGAAGTCCCACTGTCTTTTTGGCCATTCCTCTTGAGGAATCTTTCATTTAGACATAAGGTCTTTCACCTTGAGCATCAGCGAGATGCAGCGTTCTGAAGCAGCAGGGTGCGTGCTGTGATGGGCGCCTGTGCAGCTCCAGGGAGACCCCAGATCTGTCTTCCGGGAGTCTGACGCTCTGCTGTGGACACAGGGATGCCAAGTCCCGGAACCCTGTTCCCGAAGGTCAGTGCCATCCAGTGGCACTTCCTGTGCCCACAGCTGTGTCACACACCTGCTGGTGCTGTATAGTGCAGGATCCACTAGGCACGTCAGGCTCATGAGCATTTACAGTGGGGCTGGTACCAACCACCAAGGAGCCAGATTTTAAATTTTGTTGAAATAAGATGAATATAAATGTAAGTAGCCACATGTGCAGCTGGAGATATTCAAGAGGGAAGGAAACTCTTCCTGAAGGGAAGGTGTAGTAACTTCACAGTTAACCCTGTGCTTGCCTGACAGGTGCCACAGCCCGCGGCCCTGGGTTGGCCGAGTGGGCTGGGCTGCTCATGCCGAGGACAGTAGCTGATTGCTCTGCTTCTTGGGATGGCATCATTGTCTGTGTGCAGGCCGTGACTGGTTTGGCAGACAGAAAGCACACAGCTTTAGGTGCCTGACCTCATCTGACCCTCACGCCCACTCTGGGAACCAGGCCATAAATAACCACCCTGCCACCCCCGCATACTGTTCTACACATAAAGAAGTTGAGCACCGAGGAACAAAGAGCCCGGAGGTAGACAGGTTCAGGTGTGCATTCGGCCTTGCCACTTATTGTAACCCAGGGCAGAGCCCTTGATCTCTCAGCCCATGAACTTCTCCCTCCTAATTGTTGGGTCTGCTTTTTGTCCCTGGTCCAAGTGTGAGGAGTAACGCTCTCCTGGTTGTACGGTGGGAACAGTGCTGCAGCAGGCACCTGCCTTGTCAGCATGGATGTGCCTGACAAGGAACCGGTATTGGATGCAGTCTGGAAACAGATTGGATTTGGAGTCAGAAGGCCCTCCTGGCGGTAAAGGCCTTGGTTGAAAGACTGGGCCTTGTGATGCCCAAATCCCTCAGCCATGTAGTTTGGGTAGGTGATCCCTTGATCCCTTCGGTTCCATGGTGGCATGTGTGCCAGCCCTTGGTACAGAGGGGCCCATCCAGGCTCGGTGCATGGGAAGTACTCTCAGGGGCGACGGGGAGGGGAAGGCAGGTTCCTGGAGGCAGGGTCTCTCCCCTCCACGCAGCCATCCCCACCACTTAGCTCCGTGGGGTTTTTTCCTTTCAAAGTGGGTAGATGACCACCTGTTTTCTCTAGCTGCTCTCTCTGAACATGTGTGTTCCATGAGGAGCCTCTAGTGTCAGCAACTGAATGATGATTAATGCAGCAATTATCCAATCAATCATTAATTGCTATAAATTAAGTGATATACAATTAGTGTGATGCCTCATCACCAAGGATTGTTGCGCTGCTGCCCGCGGAGGGTGTTGAACTCTTGGTGAAACATCATAGCAAGAAGACCGTTGGCATCGTGGTGTCCACATGGCCTTCTGTCCCAGGGCCCCAGGCTGGGTTTGCTTCTGGGAGTTTCTGAGAAAAGATGGGCTATTGCTGCATTGCGGAAAAGGAGACAGGTACAATTCACGCCGTGTCAGTGCTTCCAAAATCCCTGATGTTCCTGTTTTTATTTTTGTTAAAAAGAAGAATCAGTAGACTCAGCAGAAATGTAGTGATTTTGTTTTGTCCAGAGGAAGGACTGAAGGTGTAATTGACTTTATTATTATTTTTTAAATCCTTGCCGAACCCCTGGCATGGAACGTTTACTGCACTGGGGCATCCTGGTTCGAAGCTGTTCAAGGTGGCAGCCGCGGGCTGGTGAGGCCCGGGTAACTGCCAGAGAAGTGTGTTCACAGCGTGGGGGCGGCGGGCTCGACTTCAGTCGGAGGCGACACGTTTAACGTAAATGTATGGTGGCCGCCTCTTGCTGCGTGTGAGTAATTCCTGCAGACTCACTGCCTTTCTAATTACCAAGGTTGAAAAAACACAGGTGAGGCACATCCTGGTGGAAATCCACAACCAGCTGTTGTTTACAGCTTTGTGTAAATAGAGATGCCACTGGATGGGGGACTTCCTACCTGAGACTGGGTGACAGAACGGGAAGGGCTCAGATCCCACTGCCGTTCCTTTGCTGTGCTCGTCTTAATGGGGTCCATAAAGACAAAGGGATGTGTTGACAGGGGGTACCACGGGGCATGAACAGTGTTGGGCTGGTGGGCGTCTGCATCCCTGGTCAGGGGCTGGTGTTCCCACGAAGCTGCTCCTGTGTGGCCCTGGGTCTCTGGACCCCAGTTGGCACACCTGTGAAATGGCACATGGGGTTACACGTGCTCTCGCAGTTCTGTAGCTCCG